GGCCCGCAGAGCCAGCCGTATGCCAGCTGTAGGACCAGCCGTGGTGCCGGCGCTCCCCAGGCGGTTCAGCAGAGGCTGCCGCCGGATCCCTCACCTGCAGCCCCGCCCGCAGCCCCCAGCCGCGCTCCCCCTCCTCGCTGCGCGCCGCTGCAGCCCCGCACCGCCCGCGGCCCTCGGCGCCCTCTGGCGGCTCCGCTGCTCCCAATTCACCCCCTCGGCTCCGCGGCGGCCCAGGGCTGCGCTCCGAGCTCTGAAATGGAACCCCCAGGCCTCGGGGAGGACAGACTGCAGGACAGCCAGGAGGACAGGGGGGTGGATAGACAGAAAGACGGGCGGGTGGGCAGATGAACGGATGGATGGACAGACAGATGGACAGACGGGTGGGTAGACAGGCAGACAGGTGGATGGGCAGACAGACAGATGGACAGATATAGATGGTGGATAGACAGACAGATGGACACGGTCCTAGCTGCACCCCAAAGGATCCCATGGCCGTGGGCTCGGTGCTCTCCTGCCTGCAGCAGCAGCACAAGGCCACTCCACCAGGACAGCTGCTCTCAGGGTGCCTTCCTGCACAGCTCATCCTGCAACACAGCGAACAGCTCTGTCTGCATCCCTCTGCCCCTTATTTCTTGCCTCCAGCAGTTCCCTCCTTAGCCAACTTGTCCATCTTTCCCTTTCCTAGGACCCCTATTACCTTTATGAAGCCATTGTCATGCTCTCAAGCCCACATCTTGCAATGGTTCCAAAGAAGACAGCTGCATTCATAGCAGCTTTGAGTTATACAGTGTGATTACCAACAGCCTAATTTTCAAGCAGCACAAAAGAGAAGCTCTCACTCTGGTGCTGTTCATGCAGTACGATTTTGTGGCTCCCCCAAAAGAGCACAGCACAGTGCCAGAGAGGAATTCCTTACTTTGTACCAAAATGATTAATGGGAAACAGGGAAAAAAAAAAAAGAAAAGAAAAGAAAAAAAAAGAATTTCATGTGCTGGCTAAAGATTGCAAAACAGCCTGAAAAAAAAAAAAAAAGATTTTCAGATCTCAATTCTTCACTTATCTCACTTGCACCTGAGATGACCCCTTCCACTGCAAACAGAGGCACAGCTCCAGCTGAAGCTTCCCACCATTGGTCCCATCCTCCCCCCACCCCTGCTGTCATGCACTGTCTGCCTGCTGCTGGGCGGCTTGGTGCTGGCAGCTGAACCTGCTTTGTCACAGCTGTGCTGGGAGAGCTTCTGTGCAGAAGGAAATTGGGGTTCCATTGGGGTAAAGGGGTGGCTGTGTGCACGCTCCCTCCCAGATGCAAGAAGCCCGTTCCCTCTTGTCCCTGCCCTAGGATGACTTTGCACTGAGCAAAGTCCCCACTGGAGATCATCCCCATTGCTTGGGTACCTCTGGAACTTCAGCGTAGGAACTTTTTGTGAGTTTTCTTAATGCAAAGACCCAGTTTAGGTGACCCAGTACATCTCACCAGCATCAATCCTCCCAGCACTCACTGCAGTGATGGCAGGGAAAGGGCACAGCTCCTCACTGCCACCACTGGGCTTCCATCCGGAGGGCTGAAAGAAGCAGCTGGGTCAAGCACAGCCTTATCCCTGCCGGTGCCATGCTCCCAGATGTCCCTGGGGACACATCCCCAGAGGAGGCCCTGTGGCACACATGGGCCATGAGTGGATCTGGCTTCACTCAAGATGTAGGGAACCCGCAGCTCCTGCCTGCCTCTGCCCCTGGCCATGGCTCCCTCCTCCTCCAGGCACAGTGGGATGCCTGCAGCCCACAAAGGGGGATGAGGAGCAGCTCACAGGGTTGGGCCTGGCATCGGTTTACGTTAAGCCTGTTGCAAGCTGCCAGCTTTTTTTTTTTAACTTATCTCCTGTCAGCTTCCTGGCAGGCTGCACTGTGGGGAAAATGGGCAGAAAAAGGTCTAACAGTGCTGGGGAGCCTGCAGCTCTGGTGCTGCAATGAGTCCCAGCCTGAGCCCATGGGGATGGGCAGGGGGGCTGTGGGATGGGGCCACTGGGCACCACACGTCCACTGCAGCCTGTTTGCTATCATCCCTTAAGAGGTCTGGGGACAGAAAAGGCTTTGCTGCAAGAAGTGTAGAGGGAAGAAAGCAAGGGAGCTGTACCAGCACCAGCAGCAGGGCTGTGCCCACCGCCCAGGCAGCAGGCAGAGGCTCTGGAGCGCGCTGGGCACAGGGTGGGAGGCTGCATTCAATCCTTGTCTTTCACCTGGGCTGGAAGCCAGCCCCAAAATAGCAGTCCAAAAACAAGATCACATGAGAGAGAAAAAATAGCAAGGCGAAGGATTGTCCATACTTCCTTGTCTTATGTGGGCGCAGTGCAGCAGCCCCAGTGACAGCAGCGCCGTCCCAGCCCCACACATGCCGGACACAGCTGGATTTTGCCTGGAAAGCATCACCACCCCAGTGATGGTCCTGGTCTGAGGACACCGCTTCTCCTTGGAGCCCTTCCTGCATGCTGCTGTGAGTGTGTGAGCGTGGGTGTGCGGGCGGTGGGGTAAGGGAAGGGTGACCCAGCAGCACAGTTCTGCACGCCCCAACCCAGTAGTGCACATGGGGTACGGCTCCTGCAGGCACACAGCCTCACGGTGGGCACTGCAGGCTCTCCCCAAATGGTCTGCAATGGACTTTTGTGGTTCCCAAGCTCCTAGAAATTCTGTGGGCTCAGTTCTGTGGGGAACGGTTGGGGATTTGTTTTCTTCTTTCTGGACTGAGGACAGGGAGGGAGGCAGGAGACATTTCTGTGCTCAGCAATGCAGCTGCAAGGTGAGCAATGAGCCGCCGCCCCGGACCTGGCACCTCCCGAGGGGCTGCTTTGACAGAAAGCTTTGCCACTGCCGCTCGCTCCTGGACTGGGGGAAGAGCAGCACGGACTGCCTGCGTGCTGCTCAGAACCCTTCTGCTTCCGCGCGGCAGAAAACGGCTCCGTAGTTAATTATTTACTGTATTTGTAAGCAAGCCCAAGAAACGTGCATTATTTACGGCACTCACACAGCAGAGCCGTCGGGCAGCGAGCTGAGGGCTCCTTCCCAGCGGCACGAGGAGGAGCAGCACGGCCGTGGCCATGCCGAGCCGGGGCGCAGCGCGGGGCCCGGGCCGCATCAGGGCTCTGCCTGTCCCCAAACCTGCTGTCAAGTGCGGCGTTTGTGACCAGCCGCCCGGCTCTGCTCAGAGCGCTTCGGATCCGAATCCAGATCGGCTGCACAAACGCACGGACGCCGTGCGCCACAGCCACGAGCCCGAGATACCCGCGGCCGAACGGCGCTCCAACAGCAGCGGGGGCAGCCGGCCAAGCTCTGCGCTCGCTCCTTTACCCGCAGCAGCCACGCACAAAGCCCGCATCGGGCGCGGCTCCCTCGGGCCCACATCCCACCACTGGGAAACTTTGAAAGCCCCGATCTGCTTCGGTCTCCTTGGCCACGGGAGGCCGGCAGCAAGCAGCAGCCGCTGCCCCGAGGCCGCCTGCCCGCTGGGTTCCCTCCTTGTGCCCCCCGTGTGCCCGCTGCGTGCTCGCTCCCTGCCCGCTCCCTGCCCGCACGGTGCCCCCGTGTGCCCGCCGGGCTGAGCCCCAGGGCGGGGCAGCGGTAGCAGCAGCGCCCGCTGAGCCCGACACGGCCGTGCGGGCCGCCCGTCTCCTCCCACCGCAGCTCCTCGCCAATAGGCTCGGCCGTTTTTGTTGGTTTTTTTTTTTTTCTTCTGTTTTTTTCTTCCCCCCCCCCCCCCCCCCCTATTTTTTTTTTCCCTGTCTCCCCTTCGCTCTGACACCAAAGGCTCAGCCCGGCGGCGGCAGCTCCTCCGCGGGACCGTGCGGGCGGTACGTTACCCGGGATCCATCCATCCTCGTCCCCCCCTTCCCCATCCCTCTGGGCAGCACCCAGAAGCATCACCTGAAGCCGCGGGCGCCGTACGGAGGGGCTGGGAGGGAACCGGGTGCCCACGTGCTGTCGGTGTGCTCCTACCTGGGGGGGATGTGGGGACCGGAGCAGGGCCTGAGGGAGCTCCACGAGGGCACACATGGACCAGCAGGGGGGAAGAGGGGGCAGGTTCCTTCTGCAGAGACATTAGGATTTTGGATGTGCTATTCCCTCACCTAAATGGGCCAAAACCCCCCAAACCTTGCAGGTATCGTTGAGCTGCTGCCAACGATGGGAGCATGGAGGGGTTCAAAACAATGTGAGTTTCACAAGTTTCAAGATGACTGCAAATTAGCTGGAAGCTGTGGCTAGAAATTTGTCTCTGAATTTGAATCCAAATTTTTAAAATGTTTTATTTTGCAAAACCTAATATTAGGACCATCCCAATAGGAAGTTTGTTTAAGCAATGTGGTGCTAGAAAATGGTTTTAAAAAAAAAAAAAAAAAAAAAAAAACTAGGAAAAAAATTATTAATGATAATTTCCTTAATAGAAATGTCCTGGGCAGAGCCCCAGGTCCCATTGCCCCACGTGCTGTTGGTGACACGGTGATGGTGGCAGTGGGACCCAGGCCTCTGGTGACCCAGCAGCAATCGCCTGAGCTGCAGGGAAGCTCTGCACACACAAACACGAGTCTGGACTTTAACTGGTTCCCAATTGCAGCGCTTGGCTTGGCGCTGATAAGCAGGACAATGCCTGAGTTTTCTCCCTGCAAAACGGGGTCAGCTCAGCTTGCAGAACAGACTCGGGTTGGGGCTGACCGCAGGTCGGGTCCAGGGAGGCCTCGGCCAGCCCCAGCCCTTTGGATAACCTCCCCTTCCAGCTCCACCCCGCCCAGGGGAGAGCCTCCCCCTCCCAAGCTCCCCGAATGACTCTGGCCTTCCTCCCACTCCCAAGACCTCGATCTTCCCACCACCCCAGCAGCTCATCACGCAGCTGGCCACAGCGGTGCTTTTTCCCCAGCAGCGATGCGGCTCTGCTGCTGCCACTGCTTTCCCAGCCCTGGGGCTGCATCCCCCACTGCAGCATTGCTGGTGCTCAGCTCTCCCTGCACTGCTGGTGCTCAGCTCTCCCTCTGCTTGCTTTGTATGAATTTTCCTCTGTGCCAACTGGCATGAGCAAGCTAAAATGCTCACAAACATAGCGGGGAGCAGAAAAGGGGGGAGCATGAAGGAGGTGCACGGCACCCGATGCGCCCAGGCAGGGTGATCAGAGCTGGGGGTGTATTTGCTTTGTATTGAGGTTCTCTGGTCTGGTGGTGGGCAGCACTTACAGCTCACAGCGCCAGCCGTTGGGATAGCAGCCCCCGCAGGTTCATCTCAGTCTGTGTCCTCTTGTTTCAATGTACTTCTGATGATGCATTCATAGAGCAGATCAAAATCTGATCCTCTTAAATGTTTGCTTTCTCTTCTGATGCCAAGTCAGAAATTAAATAATAATAATAATAAATGAACGAGCTTAGCCATTAGAAAGGCCCTTTTCTTTCCTCAGTAAGAAAGATGGGGATTTTCCTCCTGGAAGAGCTGTGACGCAGAGCATGGCTCACCTGGAACAGTCATTTCTCCAGTGCACACCTGCATTTTCCACTCCCATGCACACATTGCATGCACCCAACACGGGGAAAGTTCCAGAGCTTGTGGCAGAAGCGATGTTCTGTCTTCCTGCAGGAAGCAATCCCCTTTCAGCTCCATTTCCAGCAGCTCCTGGGGCTGCGTGAGGCCCTTGGCGCAGTGGTTGGGTAACCAAGTGGCAAATGCTTCCATTCGTTTCTCAAGAAGTCCATAGCTGCATGACAATATGTGGAAGGAGGAAGGAAAAAGGATTTTCAAGAGACATTGCAATGCAGAACCACAAGCAGGCACATTTCTGCAGGAAATAAGCCTTGCTTTAGGGGATTCATTAGAGAAAATTGCAACTTTTCAATGAGGAGATCACCACCAACTTTTGCTGCAGTGGGGCAATAGCTGTTGGTGGGTGCTGATGTCAGTCCCCACCTCGTGTTCCCTGGGCTGTGCCTCAGCAGGGCTGTGTGCTCCTCAGACCCTTCCCACGTGCCTGGTGCCACCTCCCATTGCAGCAGCAGCCACCAGCACCAGTCCAAAGCTATCACGGTGCACACTGACCCCTGCCTCATTCCAGCTCCTCCTTCCTCTCTACAACCCCAGGAGCTCCACTGCAGTAATGCCTCCTGCATTAAACAACCCCCTTTAATCGTCTTTAATTTCATGACCCCCAAAATGGCAGCATTTTAGATGAGATGAATAGACACCTCTCAAGAATGTGAGCTCAGAAATAAGAGGTTGCAAAGGACAGTGGAGACAGATGGTCTCTGCCACAGATCAACCCAAAAGATGGTCCTTAGCCACAGGTCAGACCACCACCATCCCGCAACTCAAGAGGACTGGATAAAGCTTTGGCTGTGTTTCACAAGCAAGATGCCAGCAGTGCCTGAGCTTTCTGGCAGACCTGCAGAGCTGGAAGCATGGGGATTTCCTTCCATCTGCAGATCGCAGCTCCTTCACAGGAGCACACTGAACCCAAAATGCACTGAGGGCTGTTTGTCCTGGGGCTCTGATGGACAGACAGAGAAACCCCAGCTTAGCCCTGGGTACAGGGCACGCAAGCACCTGTGTTGTGTCCTGCAGCACCTGCCAGAGGGTGCAGGGAGGACGGGCACAGCTGGCACTGCCCTCTGGCACAGCACAAGGGCTGCTAACGCTCACGGCTGGGGCAGCCTTAGAAATCCCACATTCATTTTGTGCAACTGCACGCCATTGATTATCGCCTGTGCTGGAGGCCTGGCTGGCTCTGCTTTTTAAGCCACTCACAATAGAAATCTGTTTGCAGAAGAATTTGCTGAAAACAAGTTCAGCAAGAGAGAGAGGCACTGCTGCTTTGTTATCTCTGCCCCAGAGTGCAGCATGGCCTGAATGAATGCAATAATCCTCTCTTCCTCTCTGCTCATTAAACAAGAGAGCAGCCTGACTCAGTATTCCTCAGTAAGAGCAGTCAGTATTTTTTTACCTTGCATCCAACATCAGGGTCCCCTCTGTTAATGTTGGACAGAGAGCAGCAGATCCTGCAGCCCTGCAGAGCAGTGCCTTGGTGCAGGACAGCAGGATGGCTGCAGGCCATGGGCACTGCCTGCAGAGTTAGCAGCAGGCTTCCTCTTTCCTAAAGCCCGTATAACAAAATGGTTTGATTCTTCAGCTGCTCAAATAGGCAGAAAAAGGCTGATAATTGTCCGGGTTTTCAGACCTGGGCATTCAGCATAGCCCCTCTCTATTTCTTCTTTCCCAAGCTGGCCAGGTCTGAGCCCTTCCCAGGATGAGATGGAGGCACCCAAAGAGGAATGAAATCACCCTGAGAAAGAGCGCCCAGCAGAGCAGTGCCAGCAGGGGCACAGATAAAGCGAGAGGGGAGCAGAGGGGATTAAAGTTGCCTGTTACAGACACATGGTGGCACACACAGTCATGGAAGAAAGCAGGAAAACTGAGAGGCACGAAAGGAATCCCATCACACAGAGGGAGAGAGCAAGAAAGACAGCTACAAGCCCTTCCCAACCACACAGCTCTGCTGCAGAACACAGGCAGGAGAAGCCACAGAAACGCTTTGAAATGCTCCTCCCAGGATGTTCCTCACCTTCTCATTAGCTCAGCGCTTCCCCAAGGTGGGGAGGTGCTGCTAGCAAGCGGATGCAGGTCAAACACACCATAAAATGGCAACCAAAATGCAAGAGACACAGCACCCAGGGAAGGCTGGGGATCAGAAAAGAGGCAGAAAAGAGATTTTGCCCCCAGGCCTGCGGCAGGAGCAGGGCTGACCTGGAGGGTGACATCCCCACCCCATTGATCTCCTCAGACTCATTCTGGTGTGGTACTGTCCTCCCTAAGGTTTGCTCTTTGCCCACAGCAGTCTAGACACAGGGCCGTGCGTGACTCACAGCCTTCTTGTGCTCAGAACATTTGTTCCCACTTCTTAATTTAGAGCCGTGCTCCGAGAGGAGAAATCTGGGCGTCAGCCTTAACCTTGGGACTTTTCTTCCCACGCCTCTGGCGTTAGCAGGCCGACGGTCCCACCTCTGGGTGAGTCCCTGCAGTGCCCTTCTTTCTGCCTCAGCTGCCATCGGCACAGCGCAGAGCTCCAGCACTGACCCAGCGCCCCTCCGCACCCCGAATCCCAGCCGCCTCCTGTGCTTGTGCTGAGCGCAGCGCAGCCCCCAGCCCAGCATTTCCCTCCTCGCTCCCGGCCCCGCGCTCCGGGCGGACAGGAGGGGGAGATCTTCACCACCACTCACAGCCTGCGCTGCGCCCGGTGAGCTCTGCGCTGCTCTTCGCTCCCAGCAGCGCGCCTTGCAGACGGGAGCGCTCCGATGGGTACGTCGTTCTCCATCGGGACGCCCATCTCCCTTTAGATTTAAGTTCTAAACGGAGTTGATGGGGGCAGAGGGGCGCTGCGGGGTCAGTGCTGTGCGGGTGGTGGCTGTCGTGCTGGGGAGCTGCAGCCTTTGGGCTACATGTGGGCACAGGGCAGCATCAGGTGGTTTGGGGCTGGCGTTGCTTGGATGAGCCTTTTCCTGTGCCCAAAGCTTTGTAGATACAGGATTGCTTGTGTCCCAGGCCAGGCAGGTTTCAAAGGGGAAGGCTGCATACAAATTATTTTTAAATTTCTGGAGGATTCATGCTGCTTTTGTTTTGGTTTGGTTTTGTGGCTCGGTTCGGTGGGTTTAAAGATCTGGGATGTCCCCACCTCCTGCCAGCACCACTGCTGTGCTGGGTTGTGTCTGGGGGCCAGCAGGGCCCCATGGTGCCCCCTCACCCCATGCAGGTATCCCAGAGCCAGGCCACCACCAGCTCACAGATGTCCCAGGGCCTTCCAGCCGTGCCAGGCTGCAAATAGCCCACGTGGGTGGCACCTGATGGCAGCGCTCCACAACTCACTCGGATCCATCAGATGTTTATAATTGCAGCTGTCTCTCCTGTGCTGTGTTGTTGGTGGCTGCTGGCGTTTGCAGGGATCAGACAGGGCAGACAGGCTGTCAGAAACCACCAGCTGTCTGCACGCTGTGCTAAGGAGAGCAGCAGCCCTGGGGCAGGGCTGTTTTCCTTGGAGCTGCGGTCATCAGCCATGCAGGTGTCTTGAGGGGACAAACTGATGTCCAGCTCTTCCATTCACAGGCGCCTCATGTGCTGCTGTCTGGAGCTTCTGCCAAGGGCTGGCACAGCCCGTGTGTCAGCTGTGCTGCTCTGACTGGAAATGAGGGTGGCACGTGGACACCTGGGGACCCAGTGGGCTGTTCTGAACTGAGAGACCCCAAAATTTTGCCCAAAGACTGCATGCCAAGGAAGCACATACCATAGAGTCATTCAGGTTGGAATAGACCTCTGAGATCATCTGAATCCAACCGCTGACCCATCCCCACCATGCCCATATCTCGCTCTACAACAGCAGGAAACAGACGGAAGTGCGTGCTCACCAGCTGAATGCAGTGGTTCATTATCCCCCATTAATTAATCTGTTTGGGTTTTTCTGTAGATCTTTTCAACCACGTTTTATAAAGCTTCAGCTCTGATCTTGCCTTGCTCCAACAGAGCAGAAGGCTCTTTCCCTTGGAACACTCCTTGCATGTTCTCATGCACTGTGGTTTCAAACAGTACAGCATTTCTCCAGCTCTCAAGTCATGCAGATAAGAAAATTATTATTTATTGGAGGATTTTTCCCAGTAATAGCAATTATTATCTCAAGCAATTGTTGCACTATTAAGTTACTGAGCAACAGCTTTCATAGCAAAACACAGCCCAGGCTGTTTACTTGGGCACCCATAGCTACTAGATGCTACACTTAAAGACGTTAAGCAGCAGAACTCAGAGCAGAATTCTTTCAGGCAGTTTTTCCTCAGAACTTGACAAGCTATATTGCCATCATACAATGAGCTTGAAATGAAGATAATTAACTCCCCTTGCATTTCTATGGCAGTAAATCACTGCTGAGCTTATGGTGAACCCAGACACCAAGTGATTTTCCTTGGAACAGCACAGACTGAGGCTTGAATTCTGAGTGATGATGTGTCTACTGATGGTTAACCACGGGTATGGATGTGGAGTTTCACTTGGCCTGGAGATGAAACCTTCTGTTTCAGGCATCTTTTGCCTCTCTGGTGAAGGACGCAGCACAAGTCTGAACCCAAACTCAAATCCTTATTTTGAAGCCAGAGCCAACCCTTGGTTGAGCTGGGCCGCTCTTCACAGGGGCGGCTGAAGGAAGCATCCCTTCTGACAACGTAGGCAAATTCCTGCTGTTCACTCCCCACTTAAGTAGCATGCCTCATTAGCAGCAGCACGCCAATGTTCCGGACTCGTGTGGGTGATGGGAGCTTGGCATGGCTGGCAGCCAACAGCAGGGTGATGGAGGGAGCACCAACAAGGCCCTTACCTGGAATCGGGGAGGCGTTGCTTGGGAGTGGGGCCCACAGGATACGACAGGAGAACCACATCACCCCTTGGCACGAGAGCATAGCATAGTGCAAGACTGGGGGGCAAGAATCTGTCATTTGGAAGCAGGCAAATGGCTTTTCTGGGCAGAGCTGGGATGTGAGAGCAAGATGCAGAAGGGCTGGAGGAAAGCGGCGCAAACAGAGCAGCAGAAGGAAGCTGTGAGCAGCCTGCCCAGGGCTGGCACCGCCGTCTGTCCGCCTGTCTGTCTGTGGGTGTGCGGGGCCGGAGCCAGCAGCCATGGGGCAGCCACACCTGAGCCCAGACAGCCTCAGCACTCCCAGCTCTGCGGTCTGACATTTCGCAGGGACAGCGGCAGTGGGCGGCAGGGGGAGCGGTGACATTTGGGAGCTGGGCAGCATCACCCAGCCTCACCTCCAGCAACCAGGGCTGCAACTGCGCTCCCTCTTGCGCCACCCGTCCTGCTCTGCAGCAGCCCTGCAGGCCTCCTCTGCTGCTTTCTGCAGGAAGCAGAGCACACCCAGACCCTCGGCAGGGAGAGGGGCACAGAGCCCAGCTGTCAGCTCCAGGGGCTTCCTAAAAACCACTGCAGGTGAAAGGTGCTTTAGAACATTGAGCACCGGTGTTGTTAAGTGAGCACTGTAGCTCAGCCACAGGGACCTGCTAGGAGAGGATTCCTTTCATCCCTCAGCACTGCTCGTACCCACAGTAGAGCGCTGTGTCATCCATTATACTTGCCTCCTTTGATGCTGTGTACAAAACTTCTCTCCCCTCATCCTTTGCTGGAGAAACTGAGCCCTTGTTCTTCTCTACCAAAAGTATTCTTTCCACACAACAGGTCCCACACATCTGGCGTGCATTGGGATTAACAATTAAATCCCACACATGAGACAATGGGATCTGCATCTACAGCCAGGTCCACGTTCCTGGTCTGAGCCCAGGCAGGCTGCAGGAAGCAAGACCCTCCTGGCACTGCTCTCCTCCCAGGCTGGGCCAGCTCCAGGAGCTGCAGCTGTAATTAAGTTAATCACCAGATTGCAGGAGGGTGTGGGCGAGGAGGTAGGAGAGGCTGGCAGACAATTAGAAAACAGATCATCACTTTGTTTTCCTGTCTCCCCACGGGTGCCAGTGCTTTGCTGAGATGCTGTACTGAGTCCCAGCCTGGAGAAGCACAGAAATCTCACGCGGCTCAAGCAGAACACTTGGCTATGAGCACACCTTTGTCCCCAGGACATGCATGAAATACCAGAGGACTCCTCTTCTCTGTAGGTAAAGTAGGGATAGCATTACAGAATTATGAGGGTTGGAAAAGACCTCTAAGTCCGTTGAGTCCAACTACCACCCCAGGGACACCTGTGCACAAGGAAAGCCTCTGCCAAGCTCTGGTCTTGCCTGCATCCATCACTGTCTCTTACTCTGGGGTGAGGAAATCCACCCCACAGAGTCAATCTCTAATACTTGCAATGAATGAAATCCCCATTTTATCCAAGCAGTTTTCCCTATGCAGGTTCCAGCAGTTCTGGGATCCCCCCAGCAGTTCCCTAAAGCCATACCCATCAGCCCCAGGGCTTCAGGGACCCACAGGGCCATGCACAAAGGAAAGCCAGAGCTAAAGTTCTTCTAGAATATTGTACCTGTTGTAACTGCAGGGCTCCTTGGGACCTCTCATGCACCGTACAGAATAGTGACCTACAGAGACCAGATGCATTCCAAGAGGTCAGAAAGGGTCAAAAGGGAAAGGAGCAGGGAGGACAAAAGAGGTGGACAGGAAAGCACTGCGTGTGCAGTGCAATAGCCAAGAAGTTTTGGAGCCCAGCCATTCTGTTGGGCTTCTACCCCAAAAAATAAGGCCCCTAGTGTTAGGTTCAGGTTCTGTCTTGCACTCTCACTTTTTTTTTTTTTTATTTCCATAAAAACCTGATGTTTTCTTGCCAAAGGTATAATAGCAGGGCCAGGAGCTGTACTGTGCGTGGAATACCGGCTGCACAGTCATAAAAGTCTGAGAACAGCAGCAGTATTTAGCCAGGAGAGACAATGGGAGTGGAAAATTGCGTTCATTCAGCTTTTCTTGTGGAGTCAAAGGCAGCTGGTGAGCATTGAGAGCCTCCTAAAAATAGGGAAAAAAAAAAAAAAACCCTTAAAGGAAAGATGTGAAAGTGAAGGCAATGTTTCCAGCAGAGCTGTTCTGTTAAAGCTATCCATAGATGCTCTTGGCTGCGCAGACCTGCAAGTGAAGAAGGGATGCACCACAGTCTGCACCTCTCCCACGTCAGCTGTGGTGCTGGGACCCTGTGCAGAGCCCATGGCTGCAGGGTGGGCTCCTCTGCTCCCTCCATCAGCCACTAGGAGACATTGGGTGCCTTTCATCCTCTGAGAAGTGTTGAAGGAAAAAGTAACTTCCAGTAAACTGCACAACACTAGCAGCCTCGATTAATGCTCAGCAAAGCACTGCAGCCTGTCTGGCTTATGGGGTGACAAGCAGGCTACTGCCCAGGGAAAGCCCAGAGCTGGTGTGGAGCTGAACCACAAGTAAAATGCATGAACCAGTGGAGGTGACTGTAAAACTTGGGTCGGGTCCCTTGGAGAAAGGTTAATGCTTTCAGATCGAAACAGGCCTGGAGCAGGTTCAAGCCTATGGGCGGTGGGGGAGGAATGGCCAGGAGTTGGATCTCAGGGCCAGGTAGGAAGCAGCTGGGGAAACTCGTATCTGTGATGCAGTGCTGCTCACTGTGCACTGTTCCAGCCAACACCGTGTCAGAAACACGACGAGGACAGTTCTGCAGAGCAGGGAAAGGTTTAAAGCAGTGCATGGCAGGACTGCTCTCTGATCCTGCAGGACTCACAGCCCTGCCTACAGCATCGCTCCTGGGACAGAGGCACCGCCAGGCAGAGCTCAGCCTCGGGGAAGGGAATGCTTCTTTGCTTTACTCCCCTTGGATATCTCATGCTGTTCTGATAAAGACCTGTAATACAACAAAAAGCACAGCAATGTCAGCAGAGCAGCAAGCATTTCTCCAGGTCTAACAGCTTTGTGCATAGAAATAAAGGAAAAATCCACTTACCTTTGGAAGACCTCAGTATGCAGGGATCTCCAGCAAGACCCCTTTGCTTCCACTGCCAACCCTTAAATGAAGGCAGGGAAGGGGTGGATCCTGCTCCAGCCCTTCCATCTCTCAGTGCATTGCACGCAGCTGAGCTCCTTCACGTTGGCTCTGCCTCCCCGCCAGGTGCTCCATCACTGCTCCAAGCTGTGACTGAGCATTTCTGCTACAAGACCTTACAGGGGTATATCTGAAAGGAAGGGATGAAGTCTGGGAACTGACTAGAGAAATGGCTGGGCATGTTTTCAACAACAGCAGTGAAGTCTTATTTCCATGGTTTCAGTCCTTAGTGATCAAAACTTTAATACAAAAATTGGCACTTTCACGTATTTTTATCTTCAGCATGGTTTGGGGATCCACTTGGAGGAATGGTCTCCCCTGACTGACCTTTGGAGGAAAAATTGTTCCTAAGAACCAACCTGGCACTAGCTCAATCCTAATGCAGCTGTAACACAACTCAGTGTGTGACTGATGTTTTCACAATCTTTAAATACATATAAATAGTGACTATGTAGTCCCACAGCATAGCTATGGGAATAAATAGCATTAAGTCATTTTCTGACCTTCTGGACATTCCTAGATTTACCCTGTGCCCCATCTTTGTTCATAAATCCACTTCTCTATAAGCCCGAAGAGCACTGCCTATGAGAGGCAGCGTTTTCATGGTGGTTTAAGTGCAGTCTCTGTGCCGGGCTCTTGGCTTTCTGTCTCAGATGGGATGCAAGGCTGCACAACCATGACATGGATCCAGAGTTCCACAGTTGATCACTATGTGGGTAAATCTCCTCCTCAAGGCCCCCTCAGTTATCTCCCAAAATATCTAAGCTGTGTTCTGATCCTCAGCACTGTGTGCCTGGGCCAGGTGAACACCACAGCACCAAGCAGTGCTGGCTCTGCAGCGTGCCGCCTGTGTTGCAATTCTTGTCACAGCCACGTCAGGAAGGTATAATAATGGTGAGAGCCATTAACCAGGGCTGCTGCCTCCTGCGGGTTCCAATCAGACGTTGGGTGGTTTCCAAACGTGTTTTCCAGTGTATAATTTTAGTGTGTGCGTCAATAGAAAGCAGAAAGAAAACAGGATTCACCGCGATACAATTAGAGGGACCGCATCCCTGCCGCCAGCGGGACGACCCCAGCCCTCCCACTGCAGGGAGCAGCACCTGTCCCAGCCCCGTCCCTCCTGTCCCTATAAGCACAGCACTGCGGGCAGCTCAGCACCCCGCTCACGTCTCCCATCTCCTGCAGCCTGAACCATGGCCGAGGGGGAGATAACCACCTTCACAGCCCTGACCGAGCGCTTCGGCCTGCCGCTGGGCAACTACAAGAAGCCCAAACTCCTGTACTGCAGCAACGGGGGCCACTTCCTACGGATCCTGCCGGACGGCAAGGTGGACGGGACGCGGGACCGGAGCGACCAGCACAGTAAGGACTGGCCGGGCTGCTTGGCTCTCCTGCTTGTTTGCATGCCCTGCATTGCTTGGTCAGCCTTACCAGCAGGAAGCAACCTGGCATAGGTGTGCAGGCGGCTGTGCGGCCGGGAGGGGCAGCCAGAAAGAGTGCTAATTGCAGGGGATGTAATTGAGGGTTAATTGCAGCATGCAGGCAAGCAGGCAGCTGGAAGATCGGGGAGGAGCTGCAGCCCTGCGTGCAGCCACAGCCATCACATCTGATCTGATGGCATCTCTGCGTGTCCCTGGGTCGGGCAGCAGTGGCACTGCACATGCAATGCTCTTGGGCAGCACGGCTGTGCTTCTCACACATGAATCAGGGGCTGGAGCTTGATGTGCTGAATGTGTTGTATCTGTGTGCTCTGCATGCAGCATCTCGTCTTCAGTACCTTCCCTTTCCCTTGCGTGGTTAATTAAGTTCTTTCAGGATGCAGAGGTCCAAAAGAGTCAAGAACAAGGCTGGCCTGGCCTGCCCGCAGCAGCACCTTGCCCCCAGCAACTTCCCTGGCTGAGCCCTCCTTAGCAGCCGCCTGCATGAGGCACAAAGCAGCTGTGTGACACTGATGACACAGTTCACAGCCCTGTTTGGGAGCTTTAAGCTCTTCCCAATTGCTCAAGAGGATTTAGGAAGTGGGAGCCCAAGGCTGTGGGGCTGGATTCTGCCCTGCTCTGCTCACGGTGCTCAGCAGCACAGCCTGTTATTCCATATCCTGGGTGCTTACTGGAATATAACTGGGATCTGCAGCTATTCAGATCTCATATCTGGTTAGGAAGCAGCCCTGGGAGGAGCCCAATTGGCCGTACATATTCTAGGAAAATGCTTTTTTTCCCCATTAAACCGGAAGCACCCATGTGGCTTTCTCCCCAAGCTTAACCTTTCCTCGTGCTTCAATGAGCAGCAGAGTTCTGGGTACAAACACCATTCCCTGCTCCCTGCAGCATCCCAGCAGCACTGGGAACAGCCCTCAGTCCCCATCCTCAGGCTCTCCAGCCCACTCCCAAGCCCACCAGGCCGGGCCCTGCAGCCAGCATCTCCCCCCCCCACAGACTCTCTTGCTTCTCGCTGGCCGCCAGCCAGGCTGTGTGCTGGGAAGTCCTGCCAGCCAGGAACCCCCTGCAAACAATCCTGTAAACGTGGATATCTGAGCAGGCAAATATTTACAGAGTGAATAGAGCAGCACAGGGCAGCGTGCCAGTGGGAGCTGCCCCTCTGGAAGCACTGCACTCTGGGGTCCTGCCCATGCACTGCCACTGGCACCACTGCTCCAGGGAAGCTCTTATTCTTATCTGACATCGCCTTGTCAAGTGCTAGGCACAGAATGAAGGAGAGTATGTAAGGGGAAAACAAAAAGTCACTCATCCTAGGCCACTACACCCAGCACTAATTCCATTCCTGGTCCTTCACTGCAGGTCTCAGCATCCCGAGCCTTCAGCATGAAGTGAAAAATAAATGTTACATGAGCATTTCGGAGCCTTGAGCAGGAAATAAGCTCATGCTCCTTTCCAAAAACAGCCTTACCTTAAAGGGAAGAGGTAACAATACCCCGTGCCCCACTAAGGAGTAAATAAATGAAGAAAAGAAGGAAGGAGCTGGAGCTAAAGCACCCACTTGTTCTTCGCTCCTTGGGCACTGAGCGCTGGAGAGCCATCCCCAGGGCTGTTCCATGGGCTGGAACCTTACAGAACAAGGCTCACGGGCATCTGCAGAATGTCTGCACTGCCTTCCCTCTGTCTGCTGCCCTTCTGCAGCTCACAGGAGGACCCAGCACCTGGATGTATGACCCTGCTTCCCAGGGCACAGACCCTGCCAGGCAGCAAGGCACGGTGCCCTGCAGTACCAGTACCTGAGGTCTGTCTGTCCTAAAAACTTCTTCACACGTCACTCCTTAACTGTCTTGTCAAAACCACAAAGGAAATTTGCAAATTATAGTCAGAATTAAAACCCCAATTTCCTGTGTCCCATTCCAGCATCTTAACCAAAAGGCTGCCCTCCCTTTGATGTAAAATAGGCAAAAATTGGTGTTTGGTTCTCCAAACATGGCAGTGGGGTTTCTCTCAAGGGGAGGGCACAAGGAGATGTATTTATCACCCTCTGTACTGTTTCTCTTCAACTCTTTATAACTCAGAACAGAAACACCTGGGCCATTATCTCTCACCACTTTCCCTTTTTCCATTTCCTTATTTTCCTTTTTACGTTATTGTTGTCGTTTTATTTTTACAGTTCAGCTCCAGCTCAGTGCGGAAGACGTGGGCGAGGTCTATATAAAGAGCACAGCATCAGGGCAGTACCTGGCAATGGACACCAACGGGCTCCTGTACGGCTCGGTAAGCTGCAGCACACACACAGGAGCCCGGGGAGCGGGGATTCGCCATCCCTGAGGCTGTTCCAGAACGTGGGGATGTGCTATGGGGCACACGGTCAGTGGGCATGGTGGGGTGGGCTGGGGCTGGGGATACGAGAGGTTTTTTCCAGCCTTAATGGTTCTGTGATTCTGTGATCCGATGCCCAGGAGCTGCAGGACACAGAGTCACCAAAAATAATCCAGGTCTTTGAGACCCATTGATAGCAAAGCGCACACCCCGTATCCATGTTGGTAGGCTTCTCGGCCTCACCAAGGAGCTGCTTTGCTCCCCACACTCCTGGGCTATGGGCACGGGACTGCAGTGAGTCAGGAGCCAGGCAGGAGCCAGGCCCATGCTGCAGTTGTGGTGGGCACAGGGAGCGAGCAGCAGCCCCCCGGCTGCATCCTGCCCCACGCACCCCCCTCACTGCCCCCGCGGCTCTTTTCCAGCAGCTACCAGGCGAGGAGTGTTTGTTCCTTGAGCGGCTCGAGGAGAACCATTACAACACATACATCTCCAAGAAGCACGCAGACAAGAACTGGTTCGTCGGGCTGAAGAAAAATGGGAACAGCAAGCTGGGGCCGCGGACTCACTATGGGCAGAAGGCGATCCTCTTCCTCCCGCTGCCAGTGTCGGCCGACTGACTCCCATCCCACAGCTCACAGCTCACCCTGCCACGGCGCCGGCCGCCCACCCCTGCTGCCCCTTCCTGGCGTTTCAATGAAGAGCCAAGCGTTAGAGCCCCGAGCCGTAGGTACAGGCTTGAACCAAACCAGACCCGAGCTGCTCAGCCCTGCACGACCCTTCGCAGTGATGACGAGGAGCCTCGAGGACAGCCGTGCACCGTGGATGTGTGGCTTCCAGCCCGGCTGCTGCTGGAACCCAGCACCCCCAGTGCCCCGTGATCCCATTTGTCCATCCAAGTACGTTGCTGCCACAGCGCCTTCAAGTAACTTCAAACTGCGCCGTTGTTCGTGTTACTGAGCAAAAAGCTTGCAGATAACTTCACCATACTAAGCCAGCCAGAAGCTCCAAATCCTCAGCATCTCAACCCTCCTTAGAATATTGCTGTCCCTCATGCTAATATCTGCCACGTTATTTGTATTTATTTATTAAGCAGATCTGTCTCTTCCACAATCCCTTTGTAAGTAGTGCACGTGGCACCAAATGCCCTGGCGCTGTCCTGGAGATGCTGGAGCAGAACAGGAGCAGCAGCAGTGCTGCAGTTCATGTGGCTGAGGGATTCGGTGAGATTCCTCCTGGATGACAGCTGGGCTGGGGACACAAAGGTGGAGCTGCACGGCTCCTGAGTGCTCTTTTCAGTGCTTCCTTCCCTACAGCCCCTCCTGCTAGGCCTGGCTTCCCGTATTGGACAGCAAAGGGAAAAAGGCAGTTTGGTCCATAGAGTAACATAACAGTGTTAAACATTCCATTGTTCAAATAACAATTCTAGGTCAGTGGTGAAAAGCGCTCCTCTTCTGATTAGTAAAGATGAATAATTGCATTTATTTTACCTTTATTTTTGTATAATAAATCCTTGGGAACTGCAGAAGTGTGCGTTTGCTGGGAGCACTGCACCGCTCTGCAGTGCTTCCCATGGTGGTCGGGTGGGACGCAGCATCAGGTGTACTGCTGTACTCACTGTGAGCACACACAGAGCTCGAGGGACCACAGACATCACTTCCCAGCTTTCAGTTACAACCCACAGCAGCCAAAAGGCATGCTTTTACTGTATACATTAATTAAAACTTTTTAATTAAAAAGAAAGGGGAAAGTAACGCTTGCAAAAGTTTACTCAGCAAAAGCAACTTCCCCTCCTTCCCCTCCAAAGCAAACCACAGCTGTAGGATACACCCTGCATCACAGGCAGGCTGGGTGCTGCTCCTGCACTGTGCCTGCGCCCGTTCTGCAGCACTGCCTGATCTGTGCATCAAAGCACACCCTGTGCAACCCATGTCAAACACAGCCTGATTACAGAAGGTCAGCGAGCAACGATCCGTCAGCTGCGTCCCCATCACAAGCAGTGCACAGGTACAACTACCTGCGTGCCCTTTACACCTCAGTGAGTGCAGCAGTGCTGTGTGGGGCTGGGGCAGGGCTCAGATGCCGCAGGAATGGCACATGGGGCCCTGTGCAGGGTGTGGGGCAGGGCTGGGCCCTGCAATCTGCACTCTCACCGTTCCTACAAACTTATAACTGCTTAAAGGCAGTGCGTAAGAGTTTAAGTCTGACATTTAAACTGGTACTTAGCAGCACTGGGCAGGCCTGAGTGTGTGCCAAAAGCCCAGCAATAAGGCAGAGGGAGGGCAGGGACAGGAGGACGCGGCCAGCTGCCCCATCCCAATGGCTCTGTGCCAAACTGGGAAGTGCTGCAGGCGATGCATTCAAGTGAGAAAGGAACGAGTGCATGCACAGGAGAGCCGGGTTTCTAATTAAACTGGAAAGTTGGAAAGTGTAACTGCGGGTTGAGCTGCGCTGCCTCCCAACACCTCATTAACCACAGAGCATTCCTCTCATTAGACTTCTGCACTCAGAAATTACCACCTCTGCTACACACTCGACACCCAACTGGGGGAAAACATCAACACTTTGTCTGAAAAATAATCCCGGAGGAGGCCGCAGCGATGGCTTCAGACAGACGAGCAAGCAGGGATGGCGGAACCCGGAGAAACCACGCTGTGCTTGGAGAGCTTTGTCCTCAGGGTGAGAGGTGAGCGGAAAAACAACACTTGGAAGACTTAATGAGACGATTGCTCGAAGATCTTCCCCGGGAGGCGTGTGGCTGTGAAGGGACAACGCCGGTGCCACCGCTCGGCCCGCAGAAGGGCGGCACGCAGCGCGGGGCTGCGCGCTCGGCTCAGGGCTCTGCACCGCTGCAGCACCGGGCGGCGGAGCGTCCAAAGTCGCAGCCGCCGCTGCGCGAGGAGCGCTGCAGCTTCTTTTTCCCCTTTAAATCTCAACCTTTACATTAAATAAACAACTCCCTGACGCGCTGCCAGCTGTTAGGAAGGAATGTAAATCTGGGTCTAACGGCTCCCGTCCTCCCTCCGTGGATTACACGGAAATGCCCATGAAAGGTAAAGGCTGGGACGGGCTGCAGGGCCGGATTGCGGTCCGGCGCTGCCCGCGCTCCCCCAGCCAGCGCCTGGGTCTCTTTTGCTGGAGAGACGGCACGGATCGGCTCGTCCCTCGGAAGCCCCTCTTCCACCGGCGGCTTTAAAAGAGAGCAGCGCATCCCCCGAGCGCAGCGCAGCCATCCGCGCTCCCCCCGCCGTGTCCTCCCGCCGGCCGCCAGCAGGTGGCGCTGCCGAGGCGCTGTGCGGGGCCGCCCGGTCCGTCCCGCTCCGCCAACTCGGGGCGGATGCGAAGCGTCGTTATCTGCGTCCGCACCGGGACCCCAAACGGAGCGGGAGGCACGTCGGGGGCGCACGGTCCCATGGCGCAGCTCTGGGGGCATCTCATCGCCCCCTCCCTTCCATCTCTCGTGTCGGGTTGCCGGGAGCCCCCCCTCCCAGCAGCGCCCATCCGGTGTAATAGGAGTAATGCGCTGGGGAACCCTCGCGGTCAAGGAGCCGCATCCCCGCGGGGAGCAGGCAGGGAAAGAGGGGTTGGGCTCCTGCGAGCCGGGATGGAGCCTTGGATCACACGCGGAACACTCATCCCACAAAGCTCATTCTCCTTCCTTTTCCTTCAACCCAGCGGGCTGCTTTACCCATGAGACAGCACTCAGACTGAGCCTGAAAAGCCAAAACAACTGAAGCAAGGAAGCCTAAAATAATCTATTATTAAGCTCTGGGAACTGATGGGAATCCAAGCAAAAGGAAAGCTTGGGTTTCCGCAGCTTTCCTGTGGTTGGCATTTTGGAAAGCCTGCTGGAGGACACACACATCTCAACACTGGGCGGCCAGGGAGAGGGCTGGAGCCACGGCGTTGTCCCCATCATCATCCCAGCATTGTGCCCCAACGCACTGCCCCTCTGACCAGGGATCAGACACTGTGTCCATCCATTGTTTAGCAATTTCCATAGTGAATGTCACATTAGGATGAGTGGAGGAACTCACAAGAGCTTGTGAAAGCTCCAGCAAATCCTCCATCTCAAAGCACAGCCGTGGCCTCCCTGTAGGTTTGCACAGGCTGGGCTGTCTGTAACACGCGCAGCAAATTGTTCCGGTGCTCTGGGTGACGGCTAACCTCCGCTCCCTGGTCAGGTCCTGCCTATGGGGAGCGCTGCTCACAGCCCACCCCCCTCCCCGGGCCCCCAGGCAGCTGCAGCTCAACTCGGCGCTGCCCCGGAGGCGGTCCCTCGGAATGCAGTTACCTGCTCCTCGACCCTTCCTGGCTCTCAGGCTTTTCCCTTCTCTGCTGACTTGGTGCTGCAGGAAACTGCTTCCCACATTAAGCAGATTGCCTGCACCAGCGCAGACAAATACATTTATCATGCTGAATTCCCGAGCCATTACACTACGGAGTTTCCGGGATATGAATCCTCTGTCTCTCATATCCTCCCCGGCCCCGTTTCCGGAGTGGGGCCGCTGTGCATTCATCACCCACAGCACAGAGCATCCCTCAACCCCGCTCAGAGCCCGACTGCACCGAGGGCATGAGCTGCAGCTGTGGGAATGCTTGAGATGGGCCCAAACCACTCCCCACCACCCCAAAGCCACAGTTTCACTGCAGAATGCCTCCTCTCCCTTTTTCCAAACCCAATTTCCTCCCTTTGGAAAAATGGAGCTAGGAAGGAGCATGGGCACCTGCATCCAGATGTAAGAGCCGACCTCCCCAGCATGGGGAGCTGCAGGGCCCACAGCTGAGCAGTGGCACAGGGCTGTTTCTGGGGAAGGAGCTCCACGCAGAACTGAAGGGCAGCAGTCACTCTCAGGGCTGTGCAGCCCCATCCACACATGTTTCCATGTTGCATTTCAGATGTACCCGCTGCCTCTCGGGTGTGCCAGCAGTGGGCTTCTCTTCTGGGCTGCCCTGCCTAAAGCATCTGAAGCTCATTTGTCTTGCAGCTGAAGTATGTTTTTTCTTTCTGAGATGCGAACAATTTCTGTGGATCCATCTGGATGTTATTAGGAAAATGTTCTGGGTGCATGGAGGCTGCTGGCAGCTCCTCACTTGCTTCCTCTGTCCTGGGCATGCGAGGCAGGGAATGACGCACACGAGGGGTTGGGGGTGTGGGTGAGGATGCTGGCATGTGAAGGGCAGCAGCCACGTAGCATGGATGGGTGCTGAGCCCCCAGGTCATGCTCAGCACTGTGGGGCCACACAGGGATCGACCTCAGTAAGAAATGTGCAGACGAGAAGGGGAGCACAGGACAGGGACCCCACGCTGCCCAGCTCTTGCCTTCCCCAGGCTGCTCCCCCCCAGGCCCTCCAGATGTGCCAACCCCCCCCTGGCACAGCCGGCACCATCCTCCCCTGCCCTGCCCACCTGGGGACAAATTGGGATGTGGAGCAAACTGCACTTACGCAAGGGCTCCTCACTGCTGACTTTAAATTCACGCTGCTGCTCCTCAGCAGCCCCCTCCCACTTGTTCCCCTCTCTCTGCAATTCTTTAGTTCAGCTCTTCCCCCTTCTTCTGTGCAGTGATTTGCAGCAGTTTCAGTCTGCTTGTACAACAGCACGAGTCCCTTGGGCCTCGGCTGACAGCTTCCACGGCTTCGGGTATGTTTTTATTTAGCCATTAGAGCTACATCCTGAATGTGGCTATAAAGCACATTTATCCTTTATGACTTAACTCGGTGCCAAATCCGCCCCGGCGATGGCTTGTGCTGGGGAGCACCCGTGCTGTGTTTGCTGCAGGCTTTGCTGTGCTGGGCCTGCGCTGACAGCTGGCGCCAAGCTGGGGACAAAGAGGGGTGCAGGAGGGACAGAGGGGATCTGGGCAACTGCAGTGGGTGCTTGGAACCGCCTTGTCCTGGGCACAGCAGCATCACCGTGGGCGCAGTGCTGCTGGAGCAAAGCGCACGGCTGGACACGGTGCCTGGTCCTGATGGCCATGTGGTGCCTGAGAGAAGGAACCAGCCCTTCCGAATGGTGACTGCCATTTCCAGTTGGTCACATGTATTGAAGTCACACCTTGAAGGCAGGATGAAGGAAGGAGGAAGGAATCACGAAGGCACAGCTGTGCAATCCTAACGCTGTGAGCTGCTGGATGCTCATTTTTCAGAGAATGTGGCCTCCAGCTCAGGCCCAAACCCTCCTCTCCAAGAGTTCTCCCAGAGCCACATGCAATGCAGTGGCACCTGCGTGCAGGCACTGCTCACCCAGGCAGACCCGTCCTCATGTGGCTGTTCCGTTTTCCTCATCCAGGTCCCTCTGAGTGTCGGTCAGCATCCAGGGAGCAAGTGGGGGAGTCCAGAGGTGGGCCTCCGTGCTGGGTGCCTTTCACTGAGAACAAAGTCCTCCTGAAGTGCTCTCCAGCGACATCCCCAACCCAGCAGCACGAAGGAGCGCTGCTCAGTTGTCATTAAACCCATTCGGAACCCCCTTCTGTCTCTGCAGTGCCATCTCCCTGCATCCAGCAGCTCTGGCAAAGCTGGCGTTTC